TACTTAGTGAATGTACTTCAAGTAAAGTACAAGTTTCCTAAACACTCAAGCAGTACTTTAAGTACAATGTACTTAAAGTACTTCCCAACACTGCTTAATGGTCATATCTTGCAGTGGTGACATTGACTCGATTTTATCATGTACAATGTTTATTTAAAGGCTCACTTCCACCGCCACGTGTGGCTGGAAATTGTCAAAAAGTTAGTCATATTGGTTTTTGCTTAACCGCGATCTGCGCGATGGCAAGGACCCGTGGACTTATGTTAACTAAATTAGGGTGGTGATGGTTGAAAAAAAAACCGAGAGTGCGGGTAAGCGACACAACACTAAAAAGTCTCTAGTGGTGATGCGGGCTATAGTGTGTTCATGCTTAATGGATTCAACACAGCACTCAAAAAACCAAGACAAAGTAGAAGGGTATGCACAGGACAAGCGCTTACTCTCAGCTGAAGTTTTCATTAAAAAGAAACCCCGAAGTAAACAACAGCATTCCGCACCATCATGGCCAATTCACCACGTGTCGATAACATATCTCTTTGCTACGTAGAATGACCGATGTTTGACTTAGACATTGCCCTGTTCCTTCTTTTTTAATTGTGTAGGCCTCTAAAATTTCCCTAAAGGGGGATGTTTTCGCATGGTGCTCCTAGGAGCTTAGATTCACGCACTAACTTCGGGATGGTCGCTTTTTACAATTTCTAGACCTTCGGTTAGAATTCACAGGCAGTCGTGTCTGTCACAATTGAAAACGAGCGTGTTGGTTAGTAGACACAAAACTTGAAAGAATAAAACAGAGAGGACGAGGACGGGAACAGGACATCTTTCAACTAGCAACAACATAGAATGGCACAACGAAAAAACCGCCCCCCAAGGGTCCCACCGTTCTCAAAGAGAGAAAGGAGATACTAGTTATAAAGGAAAGGGAATACACTAAATATAAAAGTTAAAAAACGCATCATTAATCTAGTTATATCTGATTACTAGAATTCGATCTTTGTCATTGTCAGTGATAATGCAAATTTATTCTTGTTAGCGGTCCAATAGGAAAATATATTATAAATATAAGAGTTTAAAAAGCTGTAGCGTCACGACGAGGTGTTGATAATCTAGCCATCTCTGGTGTTAAGAATTCGACCTCTGTCTTTGTCAATGATAATGAAGGTGCAGAAATGTTGTTTACAGTCCCCATGGCAAATGATTCAATGATTTCTCTCCCAAATCTGTTGTTGTGCCCGCCCAGTATTTTAGTATCAGAAAAATGAGGAGTACAGTCATCGCAAGTGTTGCTGTGAACGACAATGGGGTGATACGACTCATTTGAAGCCTTTGATGCTTCCACGTTGTGTTCTCTGAGTCGATGGTTGACACATCTCCCAGTCTGTCCAATGTACTGACTGCCACAGCCTAGTGGAATTGAATAAACCTTTCTTTCTTCGCATTCTACAAACTTTTTGGCATGTTTCATAGGAAAAACCACACTCGTGTCAACCTTGGGCGCGATAGACCTTAAACGGTGCGCGGAATTGTGCATGTAGGGAATCACAGCGAAACGTCCTTTCTTTTTTGAAACAACTTGCGGAAGTTGTGGTTTGATTATGAACCTCTCAAGGGTGGAGCGAAGTAGGTCAGCAGGATAGCCTGCTTTTTCTAACCTCTGCTGCTGCAACTTGAGGCTACTTTTGGAGAAATGCGTGTACGACTTGGAGAATGAGGACCTGCGAAAAGTGACCTTACTATGCCATGCTTAACAGACTTGGAGTGAGCACTGGTGAAAGGGAGAACTGGCTTTTCCGACCTCTGCTGGAAGGCCCAACAAACACCTGAGGAATGAGGATGCAATCGTAAATCCAGAAATTGTAACCCTTCAACTGAAGGATTTTCCCGCGTAAAAGTTAGCACTGCCGCACAGTCTTTGAAAACTTCAAAGATGCTGTCAGCAGACGCAGCGTCTGGATCAGGGTCTGGATAAATGACCAAGTAATCGTCAACATACCTAAAAACTAGGCAACCCTGGAAGGACTTTTTCACCTGATCGTTGATAGCCCTGTCAACAAAAAGAAGAAGTATTTCACTAAGGACAAGTGCAAGGCAAGAGCCTATACAAACTCCCTTCTTCTGTCTCTAAATATTTCGTTCGTATTCTACCAAAGTGGACTGTAAATAATTATCTATGAGGTCGATGAAGCCCTCAACCGAAACACCGGAGAAACAACATTTCTGCACCTTCATTATCATTGACAAAGACAGAGGTCGTAACACCAGAGATGGCTAGATTATTGACACCTCGTCGTGACGCTACAGCTTTTTAAACTCTTATATTTATAGTATATTTTCCTTTTGGACCGCAAACAATAATAATTCTGCATTATCACTGACAATGACAAAGATCGAATTCTAAGTAATCAGATATAACTAGATTAAGGATGCGCTTTTTAACTTTTATATTTATTGTATTCCCTTTCCTTTATAACTAGTATCTCCTTTTCCTCTTTGAGAACGGTGGGACCCTTGGGGGGCGGTTTTTTCGTTGTGCCATTCTTCTATGTTGTTGCTAGTTGAAAGATGTCCTGTTCCCGTCCTCGTCCTCTCTGTTTTATTCTTTCAAGTTTTGTAGTCGTATCCCTTGGTCGTATAGCCCACGATTGAAGAAGGGTCTCCTCCCTCGACTCCTCGCATTCTAAACTTGTAAAAAGAAGCATTGCTTCATCTTGCCCACATGCGGCTTCGGAGAAATCGTGCCACCATGCATTGCATGCCAGTTTCGGCCGACAGGTGGAGCGACTGGTTGCGGCCGGATTCCTCACATCGTTGTTGGTATCTGTTCCAGAATCGCTGCTTATAGACCGACGACCAGTTCGCGCTTTCCACTTTTCCCGGGCTTCCTCCTCTCCCCCTTCTACCATGTACACCGTTGCCTGTTTCCTTCTCCCCCAGGGTGAGGAGGATGTTCTGCCTTGCAGAATGTCGCCTCTGCTCGTCGGCCTTTAAGAAAGTGAGGGGAGGGCCACAAAGTAAAAAAGATAGGTCGACAGACAGTCATTTTCTACCTTTATCAAATATCCCGCAATCTAAAAAAAGTGGCGTAGAGATACGACGTGCTATGGTGTTTTCTGCACCTAACAAACTCGCTGAATTGTGATCCGCATCTTCAGACCCTGCTATCCGCATTCGATCCGCAATCCGCCAAATCTGATTCATCTTTATCCTAATCCGCCAGTTTACTGCGGATATGCAGGGCTCTAACAATATGCTTGACGTTTGTTTAGTAATTGTAAGTCGGCACGGCCACGGTCAGTTCCTTACTCAACACTCGGACTCTCGAACAAGAAAGTTCGGGAGTGAACAAGGGAGAGACTGACTAAGCAATGTTATTCTGGCCTTCTTATCTTTTGCACTCAGGGTAAGAATAAACACGAATATTCTAGATGTACGGAAAAGAATTCCTTGTCGGTCATGCACGCGGCAGTATGGTCACGCTAAACCTTTAAACTGCAGTAAAATTTTAAAAAAAATTGTAATAATAATGGCGTTTTTATTTTACACGTTCTAATTTGAAGAAACAATGTTGAAAGAGACCGCTGGGAAATTAATGCGTAAGATAATGTTGAAAACGCGAAATGCAGAGGTTCGTTCAGGTACTTCTAGGTCACGACCACACCAAATGATCCGTTTTCCAGTTTGCAGCATACAATTTGTGCTTCATAGAGGGAGGAGGGGCTGTGGTCGCTATGAACCAGTAGATTTCATAAGAAAGGGGAGGGTAAGCTGAAGCCCTCCCTTGCATTCCCAGCGACTACGGTCAGGTGTTTGTTGACTCTTGTTGTTTTTTCCGTCTTTTTTTTTTTTTTTTTCGTGTTTCCGGTTTTGCCGTGTCTCCGGTGTTTAGTTATATAGTTTAGTTATTTGAAAGTATGAACCCTAATTGAAGCAACGCAATACTTTTCTTTTTTTTTTTTTTTTTGCAAGATTTGTTGTGGGGCAAGTGCGCCAATGCCAAATTCAGCTTGAATTTGGCATTTACTGTGTGTTTGTGTCCCGCTATTATATTTCTAATACTGAAACTTTTGATGCAGTAAAATGGATCTCTACATTTAGGAAAATGTGGAATATAAAATAATGAAGCCTGATAAACCCAAATCTTCATTAAAAAAAAAAGGAAAAAAATATCCGAAAAACACTTTTTGAATGTAACGGAAAAAGAATTCCGAAGCCATGGAATCTTAATTATGTATACAAGAAATCCCCCCTGAAACGTCAAACAGAACTATGTAAAAAAGAAGGTCGAAAAGAAATATTATTTAACTGAAGGGTAAAAGAAAGTGTGAAATAAGGTACGAGTAATATTTTCAGATGCCAACAAAACCCCGAAAGAGTGACCCTCAAATCAAGAATAGATCCAATAAGGAAAAAAAAAAAAAAAGAGGTCTCACCGAGATTTGAACTCGGATCGCTGGATTCAGAGTCCAGAGTGCTAACCGTTACACCATGAGACCAAACACTTCCGACGCCGGGAATCGAACCCGGGCCTCCTGGGTGAGAGCCAGGTATCCTAGCCACTAGACCACGCCGGAACGATCTTTGGAGGAGCTAGGCAGCGTAGAAATCTCTCATTCACAGAGTAGGACACCTTTGTCGTTTTCAACGTCTTTACTTTTAATTTTTAGATATTAAATCACGCGCTAGCAACTACGTCAAGCTGTGGAGCACCCACGGCGTTCAAAGTCAACGTCGAACAACGGAAACAATTTTCCGTCTCCCTCTGGTTTCTTCACATCTTTACGGCCTTACTGCCACAGTAAAATCAGTCGGCTTATTTTGAGCGAAATGCTAACATTCTACGTTAAACCGATATCGGTAGTAGCTGTGATAGCAGAACCGTAGCGGCGGTTAGCTTTTGCAGAACGTAAAAAACTTTCAAGACGCAATCGTGCTCACGCTCACGGCTACCCGTTACATATATGACGTCACCCACTTCAAACGTCATCAGCCGCGTCTTCTCTCGTTGAACGTGATTTCACGTGATCATCCCCAGCTCCGCCTGGTTTTCGCTTTTCGCGGTAGTCGCTGTTGTTTCTTCTTGACGGTGCCGCCATTATTCCAGTGTAAGTAAGATTTCTTCTTGATTATAAGCCCGCATTAAGCCGGCATTAAGCCGGCAAACGCTTCGTTCGTCTCGGAAGCGGTCGATTTGCGTTCTAAAGCGTAAGCGATAAATCTGCGTCCCAGCGGCACTCGATCACAGCGAGAGCTAGGTCAGCGTTCGTTGCTAGGCCTAGATCCACAAGGTGTGCGGCGCAGGGTGGATTAAATGTTACAAACTTGCGATGAAGCGATCGCTGATGCAGCGCGTATCTTCCGCGAAACCCCGCGATAGATTCGAGCGAGGCGCCGAGTTATACCCGTCCTTATTTCGGGGAAGCGTACGATTACGAGGAAGGCGCGACAGACTCTTTGTTCATTGGTCCCGGGGTTGCAAATGGCGAAGCGTGGGTCTACCGGCAGGGTGGCGAGGGTGGCCTACACGATTTTGCCACGGTGCGTTCAATAGCCTACAGTGTCCGCACGGACCGGTCGTGCTTGACTTTTTTTTTTTTCTTACTGTTTTGGTTGTTTCAAAATATCTTGAAACTTTCTAAACTCTCTGGAGTAAGTATCATAGCTTCGCAAAGTGGCGGCCTGCCGACTCCGGCATCGGAGTCAATTTTACGGGATTTTGGCGTGGCAGCTTACGAGGTCGTAATCTTTGAAGAATGGTTGCCCGGGGCCGTGTAGTCGCCGGATCGCCTTGCAATACTCGTCTCACGGAATAAATGTAATATTCGTTGCCTATCGCGCTCCCCCCCCCCCCCCCCCCCTTTTTTTTTATTGCGTTTGTGCGCGCGCATTGAGATCTCCCGATCCATTCCTGTGTGTCTTACCAAAGTCGGACTTGCGCATGATTGAAGACCATCGCTCGGCCTTCGAGCAGTCACCTCGCATCTGCTCGAGCTCTCGTATCGAGAGAAGGCTGTTGTATGTGCAGTCGCGTCTTCGTCGAATTTGGCGGAGCAGTTAGCTTCGCACAGTGTGCAATCATACGTACCCTGGACCTCTTGCAGAGTAGCATGGCTACGCCAGTGGACGACGAGGGGTTCGTGCTCCGTATCCGGGGCCTTCCGTGGTCCACGACCAAGGAGGAGATTTTGAACTTTTTCACCAGTAAAGGTAGGGTGTCCCTTTCTTTGTGGCATCTTCACGTTATGCATGGCTTGCACGTGACGTCATCAAACCATTGCTGGTGGTCATTCCCTCTACTCCGTTTCACATCAAGTTCGACCACAGCCAATGTTACAACCCGGTGGAGGCAATCAAGCAGCGCCAAAAGTGCATGTCTTGGTGCGTTTGCTGTCACCATCTAAAACAGCTGTGCACGGTAGGCGTGGCGCAATTGGTTTAGCAGGCGATAGGGCACGCACAAAGACAAGCACTGTGATTGTCCTCATTGGGTCGTAACATTGGCTGCGGTCTAACTTAATGTGAAACGGTCTAGTTGTTCTTGCTGAGAAAAACAAATTCGGGAAGATGAAATGTCGGCTGCAGAAGGTACGCTGTCGGTGAAAAGGTCGCCACGATGGCGGCTGTTGTGGTGTCAGAGCAGGTCATCTATAGCCCAAGTGTCATATTCCCCGAGGTTTGTGTCCTGGAAAGAAGGGCAAGGACACCAGCCTCGTGGGGGCCGTTACGTGAATGATAATAAAACGAGGGTGGAGCGATGTGGGTGTTTTTGCTTTGTTCTTTCCGCCTGGCGGTTATGTCGTAACATGGTGGTCTCGTGAATCTGGAGCAATTTTGTGTGCTGGGTCTGCTTTGGAAGGATTGAATTCAATTAGTATTTTGGGCGTCTGATAAGGCTCTGGGGTATCGGCATTCATATTGGGCCGATTTGAGTTCATTTGCATGCTGCTTATGGACCTTAATAGCAAACACTGACCATGAAACTGTGCTTTCTGAAGCTGTTTGTATGTGCATGAAGCCCTTGCCAAATTTCTTCGAGTCTAGGGTAAAGAGCAGGAGTGACATCTGCCGTGTAGAAAAGTGCTATCATTGATCGGAGCATGTTCTCAATGCTTGCCTGAGCTGTCGGAAGCAGTTTTTGTAAAGCTTGGGTGTTTGAGTGTAGGCTGTTTTAAATTGAATTCAGTGCTACAAGTACTTTAGTCAATCTTTTCCATTGTAGCATATCCGTTTTTATGAGTTCTTTGGCTATAGAGCTACAACTTATGCCACCTCAGTAACATAACCAGAATTGTTGGGTGCTACAGTGCCTAAGGGCTGATAATTGGGAAGAGAGGGAACACCAGCCAAGAAATGGCATCCCCCTATCGATTTAGGCTAAAGGATTTCTGCCTCAGCACATTTCCAATGAGTCTGCGTGCAACGTCGAAGGAGAATAGACTCGAGGATTGCCTGTACGTGTGTTGCAGAGGTGAACATCAAGGGAGGCATAAGCGGCGTCCACATGACGCTCTCTCGAGAGGGCAGGCCGAGCGGCGAGGCCTACATTGAGCTTGAGAGTGAGCAGGACGTGGAGGTGGGCCTGCAGCGCCACAACGAGCACATCGGCCACAGGTACATTGAGGGTGAGTCGGATCTGCACACTTCGCTAGCGCGTCTTGGACCGGGGAGGGTTCTACTCTCGGCCCACACTTGGAGGCTGACTGGGACTAGCGGGAGGGATCGAACTGCATCTTTTTGCCTCAGCCGCATTGCCATGGGCTCAGCCTGGAATCTTAACCCCGTGCGCTTTGGGGACTCATTCGTGTACGTTTGACCCCGCTTTCGGGGCAGTCGAGACAAGGGACCCGGTTCGAGCGGCAAACACTGGGCACGGGTCGGAGTGGGGGGACATCTGACCCTTGCCCAACGTTTCTCCTCTTTGAGACCGGGTACCTGGTAAGTCGGCTCTTGCAGCCTTTCAGTAGGACAGGGAGAGCTTGCAGGTGCCATGTTTTAGTACTGTTGCAGCTTTTGCGTGCTTTCTTGAGCTTTGGGTGTAAGCTTTGTGGGGGTAGTGTTTCTCTGTGGGAGTAACCAGTGAGGGGGGGGACTTGCTCTGTGCAGTGTTTAAGTCGAAACGGAGTGAAATGGATTGGGTGGTGAAGCGCAGTGGAGCACACCAACAGGACTCCCTCAACGACGGCTGCGTTAGATTGAGGGGCTTGCCCTTTGGCTGCTCCAAGGAGGAAATTGCACAGTTCTTCTCGGGTAAGCCGTCCGGGCCCTTGCTTCCTTCTGGGACGAGACTTGTAGCCGCGCTCCCCTAGGCGTCCTAAACGCACTGGCCTCTCGTTGCCGAAGCCCCGTGTGATGGACAGGACAGGCAGGGACTTAGCGAGGGCAGGTTTGGTTGGACCGAAGAAGGCCTTTCTCGGTACCGGGAGCGCGTTGCCGGTTTTTAATGCTGAGACGAGAGCTGTAGCTCAGGCTGTGTAGCGGGACACGGGCGTCAGGCTTAATCGCGCTATCAGCGGCGGTGTTGCCCACTCTTCTTGCTTAGCGAGGTGTAGAGAGAGCTGTCGGAGAGTGCCCGTTGACGTCCCAAGCAAGGCTTGTCAGGGACCGAGAGTGGATTGCAGGGTTAAGCAGATGGCAAGCTTAAAAGGCGCACGAGGAGAAAGCCTAGTTCATGCATGGCAGTCTTGGGCAGGGTGCGAGAAGCGAGCGAGCGAGGTGTGCAGTGTGACCTCTTGTTTGATTGTGCAGTGAGCGGGACCTGATGTGTTTTTTTCCCCCTCTGTTGGGCTGGCCTCTGATTGAAGGGTTGGAGATTGTCCCCAATGGGATTACACTTCCTACCGACTACCAGGGGAGGAGCACGGGGGAAGCGTTTGTGCAGTTTGCCACACGGGATATAGCTGAAAAGGCGATGGGGAAACACAAGGAAAAAATTGGGCACAGGTGGGAGCAGAGTGCCAAACAGGCGGTCGACTGGTTTGGGCCTCCATTTCTCTCTTCCTCTCTTGTTGTGCGTGCGCGGGCAGAGGGAGCGGTGTGTTGCCGCCCCTCTGGCGCGCCCTGCTGGTGGGCGCTGCTTGCACCGTCCGGGAGGGGGGCTCCCCTTGCCGCGAGTTGCACGCAGCAGTGCAAAGGACACAGATCTGTCAGTTTTGGACAGCATACCAGTTGCACATACTGTTGTGCCACCGGAAGGAAGTGCCACATTCTCGCATCTTCGCCTTCTGCAATGCTGCGCTGGACTTGTGGGACGGATCGGGCTCGGCTATGAATCATCTTCGGCTAAAGTTTTTTTGGGGGGAGGAGCCCGGCGATGTCTCTTGCCTTGCCCGACGGCGATCGCAAGCAGCGTGCATGCAGCAAAGAAGTGCTTCTCTGAATTTCCGTACAAAACTTCTTTGACAAAGTAAGTGTAACGTTGGCTTCGTGCTGTTCTTGGCACAACCCTTGATGCTTCGTTTCATGTGTAAAAAAAATCAATCGTTCAGATATGACTCAAAAGCATTTTTTTATATGGAAAGATATGGTTAAAATGAAGGAAAAAAGAATTTCCATAAGATGAGTCATTCAGACGTTCCACGGTACAAAGGCAAGCTACAAAAACTTTCATGAAGCTGATTGTGTTGCACCAGGCAGTGTAGTAATTAAAATCTGTCGTCCTCTTAGGTATGGCGGTATAAGTCAATCTGTTTAACTTTCTCAGTCTAAGCAGATGTGCAACTTTTTATTTGCAATAATGGGCAATTATGTGACAGCAGTGATTACCTATTTCACAGAGTAAATCCATATAGTTAATTTTACTGTATAATTTGTCTTGGTCCTGTAATTGTCATACACCAAAGAAAGTAGCTGTTTGGATGCTTCTATTCTAACATTTCTTGCATGTTGTACTTTCAACTGAGTTATGTATTGTGTAATGTGTTGCAGTTGCTTGCATCTAGGCAAGATAACTCTACTTCATCAGTATTTAATGACAGGGCAGTGACTATTTCGAGCTCACCAAAGATAAGCGGGTTTACTTTGTATGCTCTACCTTTATGTAAGCAAAGCTTTGCATTCCCCAGTTTGCAGAATCTTGTTTCAATGTTCTTACATATCTAATAACTACCATGTATTTGATTGCTCAATTCGATTGGAGCCCACATCTTTCTAGAGCATAAATATCTTGTAGTTTATGGCTGCGCTTTGCTTGTGTGCATTGTCCAGACTGGGTCTGGTAAGTTTGTATTGTTATTGTGTCCGACATCTGTCTCTGCAAAAACAAAAATGTTAGAGTTGACGGTGGCCTGCCGTAGCCAGTTGCACAGACTACTCGCGATGCAGTTGGGTCCATGAGCGTCCTACAACCTTTGCCGTGGAGTTTTCTAACTTTCAAACAAGGTTTAAACTCTCGGTATCTAGATGCGCAGTCTTCGCCCTTTGCTGTTCAAAACAGCTGTGACACTCCTATCCCACAAAACCTGGGGGGACCCCTAAATTGCGCCGAAAAATATAATTGCAGGAATGTACTGCATCTTGGTGAATTCTGCTCTGTCAGGGATGCCATACGCATTAACTAGAGTAAAAATATATCTAACCCAAAAATGTAAATTGAATGGACTAAAACATTGTGCTTTAGCCAAGGACAAATCAAAGTGTAGCAGTCACAGTTGGTCAGCAGCCTGAGCAAGGGAAATGGCATGTCTCGTGGTGTCCCAGTGAAGCCCAACCTCACTTAGATCTAGAGTTGCTGGCACAATGAAAACTGCAGGGAGATCTTTCGGTTGTCTCGCCTCCAGCGTGTGGATCATGCACACGTGCTAAAGCATGGCAGAAGACGGCGAGCGCATGCTGGAGGCCAGGCACCTGAAAAAGGTTCCCTCCTAATCTGCCAAGTCTCCCGTATTACCTGGGAGACTCCCATTTTAACCACTTGACACAATGTAGCAAAAATTGTGACAAAAAAAAAATTCAAATTACTTCCCCCTTCCCCTCTGCACTTTACGGAGTTTTTGCCGTCACGACAGACTGGTGCAATGATAGCGATACCCAGCTGTATCTTGCTAGCATGGGCAGTGCAATATGAATTTAATGTAGTTGTTTTCAAGTAAATTCATTGTCAATATTTCTTCTTAAAAACAAAACGATACACTACCCCTTTTCCTTTTCCTCCATTCTTAGAAATTCTCTCGGATTTGGTTTCTTTGAACTTGGTGGGTAAGCCCGTCATCAACTAAATTGGAAGTAATGTGAATAAATAGTTTGTGCATAACTCTACAAGTGGCTTGTTAGAACAGACTGTGAGGAATAGAATGGAATGTGAGGAATAGCTTTGTAAGAAAGTTTTATTTCTTTATTTAGACGGGCCAACTCCCGAATATGAAGAGTATTATGACCCGGGCTAGTCACATTACTGGGAGTAGTTCTACTGTTTCAGCCCGCTAGTGGTACTCTCGAGTACCATTAGTGGGCTTTGCAATTTTTCCTTGGCACGGCCGTCTAGAAAATCAAAGTAGCTTTAGACCATGAAACCTCTAGAGGCAACAGGGCGCCCCCAAAGGTGAAGCCAGAAGCGTGGAGGGACACGCCCCCAACAATGATCAAAACCAAAAGACACCATTGGACAAAAAATAGAGCTGACTTGGCGCCAAGTCTGCTCTCCTTTGCGTCCAGTGGCGACTCTTGGTTTTGGTCATTGTTGGGGCCGTGTCCCTCCACACTTCTGACTTTACCCCTGGTAACGTCACGTCGCCTCCAGAAGCTTCCTGCCTCCATGCTTTGGACCCAGCCGCGTTTCCGGGGACGCATCAACCGCCCCGTGAGCACTCTGTGCAGCTGAAGAACGGTCTGAGCCATTGCAACGGCACAAAGCGGGACCTGCCGCCGCCAAGCGCGCCGCCTAGTAGAAGCGAGCAAAGGGGACTGAATGCAACGGGGAGTGTGACTGACGGGCGGCCGTCTGTGGGTGCTGTTTCCCCCGCTTGCCTCCCTTAGGTACATAGAGATCTTCAAGAGCAGCCTGCAGGAAATTCGCTCAGCCGTGGGCATGGGTGTGCCCAAGATGATGCGACCCCTGGGCACAGCACGACCCGGCCCCTACGACCGCGGGGACCGCTTCGGGGGTCCCTCGCGCTACGGTATGGGACGCGGAGGCCGCAACTTTCGCGGTGAGCACTCTGCCTCACTCAATCTCTCTCTGTGTCTGTCACTTCCTCTCCGTCTGTTTCTCCACCGGTCTCTTATCTCCATCCTTTCTCTCGCCTTTGTCTTGAAAGGCCGGTTTGGGGGTTCTTGAACTCTTCAGTCCCGGGGAACCTTTACCTCAGTGTTCGATAGCCGAGGAATTGCTCCCGGTCTTACCAAGAGGGTTGGTAAACAATAATGGACATACCAGAGAGTGTTTGGCTCATAGTTATGCATCGACGGGCGGTTTCGCTAAAATAGTGCTTCAACTGGGAAGACACCTTCCTTGGGTTTCATTGAGGAAGTCTGGGAGCTGGGGAAACTGTTTTTCCAGGAACCCAGTTTGGGAACCCACGTGCTAGTAAATGAGTTTTGGCGGTATCTCGGAGGCAGGTCTTTGTAATTTTTGAGCGACCTTGGCATGTGCTCGTGGTTTTAGATGTAGCAGATATGGGAACTTTGTAGGTGATGCGCAAGAAACGAAGAGCAAAGATACCAACTTGTATTTTGTGCATTTTCCAGTTACTGCAGCCTACCTGCTGGATTAACTCCCTAGCCTTTTGAAAGAAACCTTTTCATTGTACTTGGCGTTCTAAAACCCTGTCCTTCCAGGGCAACAACTTCTCTAGGGCATCATAAAGGCATTTTAACAATGTATGAATATTTTCTAACAAAGAATTCTGTAAAGCCTGTAGCAGCTGCTGTTGATGTCCAAGGGTAGCCGCTGACCCCTAACTCCTTTAGCATAAGTAGGCCATAGATTTTCCGGTTTTAGCAGCTCCTGTTGTGAAGAGTACAAAATCGCGCCAATTTCTGGAAGATTTTTGCTGTTTTGTCTGAAACCTCCCTTCTGACATACCCGTGGAGTGCATAATCTTACCTAGAATCAAGCACCCTGCCAGTCAGTCCATTACCGAATCGTTGAAATTTCCAACCTTGATGGTCAGTGTAATGAAGTTTAGGTCAATTGGTTGGTTACCCAGCTTCTCCGGTTTTTACCAAACAACACCGACAAACGTCCACCCATGCCAAAAAAGCGCACAGTCTCTCCGATTTTTAGTATATTTTCGCCATTTTTGTTGAAAGCCTTCCTTGGATGCTTGTCGGATGCATAAGATGAGCACCCTTCCCGTCCCAAATCGGTTGGATTGCCATCTTTGGAGGACAGTGGAATGCAAGTTTGTTCACTTATCATAGAATGCGGGGCATCCACCTAGTCCACATTAAGCGCCCATTCCCAAATTTGTAAGATCTGAGGAAATATGCGCAGTACATTTATATGTGATATTGATGACCGGACAAGCGCCCATCCCCCATTCTCTCACTATTATTTCTAAATTTTGAGTGGGCTGTTGCCCGGTATTTTACGGTATGTTCACTTAGTCTTTCCTGTTCAGGTCAGAGGTGAACAACGGTGTTTGAAACTACACTGGTAGTCGCTATTGGTTGAACCTTGCGTTAAAATCAAGGTGAACTTGCCTTTTTCGTGGCAGAAACATTTTGCTTGAGGAAATCAATTTTGCCATTGCGTGGAGCAGAAGAGCAGCAGGATGTAAGGAAAACAAAAAGCTCAGGTTAACTTGTTCCGTACCGCGCCCATAGGCCATCGATCACTTGTGATCGATGCTTTCCATGCGCCACCAGAATTCGAATTTCGCGCAGGCACATTGTGACGTTGGTACTTGTCAAACATCTCGTCTTACTGACATTGGGAATTGTTACGAAGACAGCCTCAATAGTGCGATATAACTGCTTTTGTTTATTTTTTTTATGACAGCAGCAGCCAGGACTCTGGATGATGTTTGATCATTTTATTTGAGCTTCAACGACTGTTTTTTGATGGCAGCAGCAGTGAGGACTGTGGATATGGATCATTTGATTTGAGCTCCTACAATGTTTCATATGAAAGGCGCAGAATATAGACAGGTGCTCATTGGAGACCGTCATCTTAGCTTTCTAGGCTGTTCCGAACTGGGGCACATGTTTTGTGTGTGCCACAAGCCATAAAGGCACTGTGCGAGAAGTTAGAGCAGTGCTATGACAAACGAATGTTTTGTGCAAAACGAAAACGTTCTGGAAGGCATGCACCTCTGCATGCAAAAGTAAAGCTCAGCACTACAAAAACACACTTGCCAATGGACAAGAAAAAAGAATCAGTATTAGTTAGAGTTTTCTAATGACAAATTCGAGCGTTCAACTGCCGACGAGCCCTTGCCGGCAGCACTGGCAAGCACAGGACCCTCTCCACCTGAACACAAAGTGCCGGGAACTGGCGTTTTCATTTGTTTGGGTCGCGCTTGAGCTTTGTCAACTTCTTCGATTAATTTATGGTACAATAGGTGTGCTGTATGCATCACCAACATATACGTAAACGACTTAATGTTTGCGAGGACCTAATTTTCGCGAATTGCTTACAATTTGCGAAAAATAGGTCCCATGAACGATTCCGGTAAAATGTAAGCACATTGAAATCTATATTGAGATCTCACCGTGTCGCAAAAATTGGAACCCGCGAATCATTCCAAAACTTCAGATTTGACCTAAATTGCAAAATATTGAGCCCGCGAAAAATAAGTCGTTTACAGTATCAGACTGAGATGTCGGTAAACGCAAGACTTCACCATCTCTTTTTTTTTTTTTTTATATTTGAGATTACCACAGTTTGCTCAGCTTACAAGATTTGAAATCGTAAACTTATTAGGAGGGCAGATAAATGAGTGTGTAATGCACATGCGTCCAATTTTAACACATTTTGTTTGGATTTCCGAAGAATGTTGCCATTTTACAAAGCTCCTAGAAGGCTTACCAGCTTAGCTGTTTATTTTCTATTTCCTTCATATTGCCCTTTTCTGGAATCCTCAGTCTTTTTAATGCACCCGCCCCTTTGAAATTGCAATGCGTGTTCAAGTATCAAACTGCAGCACCATCAATACTTTTTTTTTTTTTACAGTTGTGTAATAACACGTAAAAAGCAAAGCAAACTGACCTTGCGCAAGATTCCTTTAAAATATTTTATCTTTATCTTCATTGTTTTTGCTATCTTTTCTCAGGGTTGTCTGTCTCAATGGCTTCGTTTTCTACTCAAACCTGCCACTGGCGAGCGTTGTTTCGTTTGGTTTCCTTTCCCGATTGGAATATAAAGATAGTCTGGCAGGACAAGCAGTTGGATCTCTTGAAGCTCTGACGAAAATTGTGCCAGTAAATTGCACACGCCTGAGAAGCACCACCCAAACGGCGCGCGCTCGCCAGCCTTTGACCATGCGAACGCTTTTGCCGAAGATATGGCAAAATATTTTGCTGAGAAATGACCACCCGAATTAGCCATAACATACAGAAGTGGTGTGTATGGGGTGCACTTCGTATGTTTAGGATTTTTAAAAATCAAAATGATGTTTGGACTTTGTTCTCATTTCTGCACCAATTCGAAGCTAAACGTTTAAGTTTTTTTTTTTTCAGACATGTAAACCCTTTTTTTTTTTTTTTTTTTAAGAGCATTCTATTGGCTACATTTTGATGCATTATCACCAATATGCTAAGTAGTTCTTTGAAAACCTTTAGCGTTCATGGTGCTGGGAGGCAATTCGCCATGATGTCGCTTTTATTTATGAGCTTGTAATCGGTCATTTGAAGAACCTAAAAAAGCAAATTTTAAAAAGTTGCACAAGGATATATATGTTTACATAGATAAAATAAGGGTATGTTTTTATAGATATACCTGTAACTCATTGAATCATGATAGTGCATAAAACCCATCTTGTTGATTGCATTGAGATGGATCCACTTTGACCGATAGCAACAGCTCGTTTCAAATGATTACCACTTGATTCTCGCACGAGCACTGTATATTCAATTTGTTAGCATTTCATGGAGATGTCGATTAGCTTGACCGTCTCAAATCTCGCCCCCTAGCAAACCGGATCTGATTTGAAGCCTTGGTTACCGAATCAAATACTTTACATGGACCGATATAATGTGCCATGGTCTCATCCATGCAGATGCAGCCACAGTTAACTACAAAAACAAAACATGCAGGATTTGCTTTCTTAGAGCCATTTAGATATAAATTGAGGTTTTCCTGTTGGTCCCTTGCTGGCTATGCTACTCTCTGGTCAGGAGTGGAAAATAGTTGTTGCCTAGCCTTTGCTGCTTCTCTTGCTACAATCAAAAGTTTTGTTCGTGCTGCTGGTAACAATTGAATCAACCTGACTTATGGTCTCAGTTCGCAACTGAGGGCGTCCTCCCTTCCCTTTTGATGCCCTTTCGCAACCTTCACTTCACTTGTGGCCTTTGTTTTTTCCGTGCTGGCCTCTTTCACACCCTCTCCCTTCATGCTATTCTTTCCCTCATGTGGTGTCACTTGGTTTATGGCTCTTTAGAACAACATATTTGAGCTGTTCTTATTTATGTCTCAACTGCAAGTGTCGCCTTTTTCTGCGCATCTTCTATAATCGGCAGTTTATCTGAGCGTTAAATTTTAAGCTGCACTGGTCAGCAGATGGAGGAATGGGCGACTTGCATCCAATCCAGGGTTTCTGTATTTTCAAAAGTGTGAAATTGCCTTACTAGATTGAACCCACGCAGTTCAGGTTACTCGGATTTGGCATCTGTGTTGATTTACCTGAAAGGGTTGCCCACCTGCTTAGAACCAACAATGTTTTTCTGAAAATTTGTAGCTTCTTCAGCTGGCAGGTTTCGAGGATATTATTGGTCAGGACTTTTCTGAAGGTGATCTTTCCTACCACCAAAAGACAGCTTGCTTAGTTTTGTTGGTTAATCGTTGCAATAAGCAGAATGTGATTTTTATTTCGCCAAACGCGGTTGCTATTTGTAGCACCGAAGCACAAATCGCTGTGTTAACTTTTTGTAGCGATCTCTGTTCGGCAGTGTTGCCACTGAAGCGATGTGATAACGTTGGATGCATGGCCATTAGTTCCAGAGCGTGGGGCATTCGGTTTTGCAAGACTAGGTGCAATTGACAACGCCACTTTGGCATGCTCGAGAGAATGGGAAGGGTTGCACGGCGAGGAACTAGGCAGGTCCAACCCTAGCGAGAGAACAATGCAAAATTTCCCACAGTCTCGGCAATGTAGAAATCAGCTTAGCGAGCGTCCGAGATATGCCAGTTAATCAGGCTGCTTTTCCACGACAGGTACCATATTCAGTTTCGTAATTCCGTTAAGGGGGGTGAGAGGTTGCCTTATTGGTCGATTGGAAGGTGCTAGAATTCAAAAAGCTGTCATTCCTAGTTCTATTTGTTGATGGATATGCTTTTTGTTTTAGCTTTGTAGAAACTCTTCACTTTCGTTTGTCATTGCCAATGCCAATCACGTCATGATTCAACATGTTGACCGTCGCTAGTAAAGCTGTTGGTGGATCATTGCAGTCAAGTTGCATTTTTGGCTACCAGATACGATTGCCTACGCAGTACAATAGTATCTGGGATCCGCTGAGGGTGTTCCCACGCTCTCTTGCAGGCTTTGTGGAAGAAGACGGCTATGGAGATTTTGGTGCGTATGGTTTGTGCAGTGGAGACGGCTCGTCGGGGCAGTGCCAGGCTCCTAGCCTATCAAAGGGGATTCATTTTTACTAGGCCTTTCTTTTGACAGCAGAAATGTTTCATTGTGAGCCTAGAAAAGCATGACCTTTTATTGCATACACCGGGGAAAACTGGTTTCTCTTAGGCATAGCTTAATAAGCATGTGCACTTTTTGAATTGGACATTGCATGTGGCTAAAAACATTTTGTTTTTAGCTGGTCGGCTACTTTGTTTTGTTTGCTTCCTCGGTAGTGAGTTTTATTTGTAACTATACTCATGTTCACCTCAAAAATTTAGTTTAAAACATTTGGCTTTTTGCGGAGCATTACTAATAGCCCCTTCCCCTGGCGGATATCGAGCGCTTCGTGCTAGGGGTCATCGAGCAGTCGGCCTTCGTGAGCGATCAATCACGTGATTGGTCATGTGATCCACCCCAGTGGCACGAACTGCGGAGTGCCACCACTTTCTGAGCATCTGTTCTAGAGTTTTAACAGTTTCGGTTCCCATTGCCATCTTGCTGAAAGCGTAAACTTCAGATCGGAAGCACTCCAGATTGTTTACTACTTGATTATTGGTGACCCCAGTGTTAAGACAATTTAGATTTCCTTACAGTTATATAAACCCGATGAAGACAACTAGAAGTTCCTGTACTAGCCGTAGGATGCAGTTAAACAATACCAAACACGTATGCTGTAAAGCGATCATCATCTCCAAAGGCGACTTCTATCTGCGGAGTATTTGGCGTATTGTTTTCTAATTATTCCAATTGCTTTACAGAGACCCCACAACGAACAAACGACATACCTAGGAGCGCATAACGCATTGACATAATGCAATATCTTGGGCCTCTTCGCTGATGAGGCAAACGACTCGGCAAGCTAGCATCTTCGCTGCAGCATGCTCGGTCGAGTCGCTCATAACGAGAAAAACGAAAGCAAGCACAGCAAGAGAGCCTACCGAGTAATCGAAACCAAAAAGCTGCGAAACTCCTTCACTTCCTCACGGGAACAATGATAATGAAACTGAAATGTTGCGAGGGACTGCAGATCATATTCCTCCGAAAAAGGCAGCGCAGAGAACTATTCCGGACCGCTGAGCGCGCTACGCCACTTCCCCGCGGGTCGGTTGGGACCGCTTGGCGAGCGCTATTTGCCATGGGGAAGGGGCTTTTAGTTCCCCACTGTAGCGATAAAATAAGAAACTGTTTCTGACTATTTTCATGGAGACCAATTTTTTTGCAAAATGTGGGCTTCTAAAATATTTCATGGTTAGAAAATTGTGTAATTGGGAGTGGTGTGTTATTTATCTGTTACTATAACATAACTTAATTTTTTTCAAAATTCATTTTTAAATTTAAGTTAAAGTTGTTTTATGGGGGCTTGTTTTCATCATAGATTTGCCACCGACCATAGTGGCACCGTTTCAAACATGGTGTGCAAGTACAACACCGTTGTATCTATTGGCATGGGGGACAAGTCCTGCTTCCTTCCGAATTGCAGTGGCTTACTCTTTCCAGTTTGAATGAGAATTTCCGTTCTCGGTGACTTTTGTGTTGCTTCCCTAGAACATGTGTTACCTCGCAAGAGATTCATTCTTGCGTAGCCATACTCCCTCGCTAACTGGCGGCGATCGCTCTGCCCACTTCGAAGGTGGTTCTGGTGGAGCACGCTACTCGGCCACGGGCCACTTCGTCCACATGCGGGGGCTGCCCTTTCGTGCCACCGAGAGAGATATCTTTGAGGTGAGTGTGGCCTCGGCGGCTGTTACACCCGGTGAGAGCTTGCTTAACGGGGTAATGTTTAGTGGCCCGAAGCGGAAAAACCGGTTCCCGTCTGCGGCTTCCGCACGGAGTGTCGTCGGGCATTGTTGTTGAGCTGTGTTGCACCTTCAGACTCTTCTCCAGTTTGTTGTGGCTGGAGAAGTTCGCTACCGGTGCCAAATGATTATTGTGCATCTGCCATTTTCTGACAAGCCCAATTTTTAAATGTTTCGGTTGTTCTGGCCTAATGCACAACATTCACTTTGCCAATCACTATAGATACTGTGTTTTGAAACTTTTTGATGTTTCAAAACAGACAATCAGATTAATTACTTGCCTCTCTATTTCTGTATGAAGGCTTGTTCACACATATACCACCTCGGTGCCATTGGTCAGTGCTGGAAATGGTGCCAACCTTGCCAGTGCAGTGCCGGTTTTGCACTGCACCGGCACGGTTGTTACTATATTAGTAATACAGCGTCACATCGGTGCTAAGTTAGGTTTGATTCATCGCTGCACAGCGCTCTTCGTAGTGTCGATTGAGTCCTATGGCATGTGTGTGAACCAAACTTGAGTGCAAGCAAAGGAGGAGGTATGAGAGCGGGTGTGACGCTTTGAGCAAACTTGCTCTGCACACATGTTCGCGAAACAGGAGACTCGTTAGAGACAACGTGCTCGTAACTTCGGCTTTGCTCCCACCTGCGGTAAAACAGAGTATCGGTCGAAATTGTATAGCCTATTGCGATTGAAGACTTATCCTGCATAGAGCCCATGCTACCGCACATTTAGTTTGTTGCTGTCCGAGAGACTAAGGGTGGGTCTGTGTGCCTTCAGTTTTTCCAGCCCATGAACCCGATGAACGTGCACCTGATCTACGAGGACAGTGGCCGCCCATCTGGCGAGTGCGATGTGGAGTTTGCCACCCACGAGGAGGCCGTCAAGGCCATGAGCAAGGACAAGGCACACATGCGTGAGTGCTGGCTGACCATTTTCGGGGTGGGGAACTAAATGGCGGGAACGTTCAGGTTAAAATTGGTGGGGCCTGTTTGGTGGACATCATAATAGAGTTCTTATAGTGTGCACTATAGGTTCAGCTGGCGCTAGTGCACCGTCGCAAATTGAAGCGGACGGCAACCGGTCGAAAATTTACTTCCGGTATGCATTTCTATGGGGAAAAGCAGGTGCATTTTTCCTCTGCGCTCTCTTATGAGAGCAAATATTACAAATGATTATAAAGTAATAAATACAGTAAACTCTCACTTGAGAAGGGGTGGTCCAGCTGCACCAATTGTGCCATTTTGATAAATTCCCCTTTGCCTGCGCCTTGCGGCACATAAAGACACAAATTGCGCCAAAAAGAGCTAATCGGTCCGTAAACGAATCCTTTTCTTGGAAGAATGGCGTTTTCAACTGGAAACCCGGTGGAAAATGGCCATCACAATCCAATCCAGGCTTCCGGCTCAGTGATATTATTGGGCATTATTGTTTTGTCGTGACCCTTGTGATATGCGGTGTTGTGGCTGCTCATTTCTGCATTGCCACTGCAAAGTCCTCTTAAAAATAAGCAAACATGAGTGTTTCTTCTTTTTCTTCGTGCGTGTAGTAAGTTAGAGGCCCCGTAGTAGAAATCTGCTCGGACAGTCGTTCACCGGCAGTTTAGCGGCACCAATACCGAGCGTGGGTATTTTTTCGTTCGCGTGGTCCTTGCCTAATTTCCTTGTTGCGGATTGTTGCATGTTCTTTTTGTTGCCACATGCCGTAAGCAATTGGTCACCCTCTTGTTTGTCATACTGTCGCACTGTGTGTGAACTCAGAATGGAGCCTACAAACGTGTTTAATAGATTGCTATAGTTTTGGATTCTTGGGCGCCTTGAGTAGATTTATCACGATTGAACGGAAACAGACCAAGAAACAGACGGTGAGAGGTCGGTGTGACTTAAGGGGGAACACTGGTCTTGGAGCTTTTTTTTCTTATTTTATGACCAAACCCAATGAAACTGCACAAGCTTGTTCAGCTTTCTGTGCTGATTTCATATATCTGGTAATTTCTTCATTCAGTAGACTTGTCCTGAAGATAATTAAAACTTGCCTGGCTTTGTTTGGAGGAATGATAGGGAAAATACTGCTCAACAAAATATCCTTTTTAACACGTGGCCAGATACTACGAAGTGTAAAGAATACAATGTTGGGAGTACTTTTAAGATAAACCCATTATTAGTGATTTTACAACATATTGAAGTTCAGTGCTCAATGCATGGCTAACAAGTAATAAAACTAAAGATCAAATAAAAAATTTTCTATACTTATATTAAAAGATCTGCTCTCAACATTGTATGCTTCACACATTTAGCAACACATTTCAAGAAAGGTTATATTTCTGGCTGCTGTAGATGCCGAGATATCCCTCCCGCAAAATTTCAACGAGTCCAAAAATTGTGTTATGTGAAAACAATGTTTTAGAGTCAACTTTAATGCACATTCAGCCTGCATAGACATAATAAATTGATTTATAGCTTGAATATTCATCCACGAAATTAGAAGCGTGGTAGATTCAGAAGAACAACAGCCATCGCCGTTTTCAAAAGAATGCAGTTTTAGGAAGTTTTTGGCTCCAGAGACCCATGTCCCCCCTTAAGTTATATCGACCGTGGTTCAGGCTGTAGATAAATTTAGACTGTACTTTTGTTGCTAGTGGTTACACAACCACGTGCCAATACTATGCTTACCAAATTTGAAAAGGCTGCAGTGTGTGTTGAGCCCAATATTCCTGGGTCCGAATCGCAGCTGCGGATTACCGCTGCAAGTGAGGAACAGTATTTACACGATTGTGAGTCAACTCAAATTTGGGTCGACCCTCTCTCCCCCCCTCGCAACCAGAAAAAAAAAAAATTATATAGGGGCGCATAGATGTCAAACTTGCAGCCTGCTGCACAAGCTATGGGGGGGTACTTTGTCAGGGCAGTAGTACTGCTGACCCGCAAAAATTTAATCAAAAAAATGTAAAAAAAAAAAATGTTTTTAGAAATTTGATGTTTTGGCATCCTCGCAAACTTTCTTATCTAAGAACAAATTACATATATCCTTAATGATCGTTAGCAGAGGTATCACAAAGAAAACTTGTCTCTTTTATAGCATAAGCATTGCCACTATGTGTGCAAAGTTTCTAAAAATCCACACACAAATAAAAAAGTTATTGCCCATCCCCACCTCCTGCCTTCAAGCGCATGAAGTAACAAAGCTGTCAAGAAAGTATGTTTTTTCTGCACTTCCTCTGGCACAGCCTTTTGCTGTGACGAAGCCATACCACCACGGCATCATCCACTAGCTTAAAATATCCTGTGCAGGGTCGTTTCGTGTTGGGAATGAACACAGTTTCTCCTTTCAGGTTCGACTTTTGCTTCACTGTCGAGAAGCACAAAAAGAAAACAGACACATCACGTGGTTCGTTTTTGTCTGCCGCACCGCCGCTTTGCCTCCGCTGCGCTGTAAACGCCAGCGATGATACGCCGCCGCTGCAGAGGCGGTGGCAGACATGGGCTACGCCAGCACTGCAGAGCACAAAACTTTGTTGAACTATTGTAAAGTTCCGAAAAAACGCCCACCCAAAATGAAGAGATAAATGGTCAAAAACATGGGGTGGGCTATCTGTGGGGACGCCACAGCAAAACTTCATCAAAAACTGGCTACAAACCACGTGATATGGGAACTGATACCGCAGATTGCGCGCACCGCATATTAGCGTGTAATGATGCGATAAACACGCGGGATTTCGCTACGAACTCCTGTGTCACGGGAAAGAATACCGCAGTTTCCGGACGCAGCAGATTTGTGTTTCACAGGGCTAAGGACCCGCGGAAATCCACCAAGAATTCTCATCTCACGGGAAAAAATATGTTAAATCGCGGACGCAGCAGATGCAAGTTTTATGGTACAATAAACACGCGGGAACCCACTACAAACTTGCCTGTCACAGGAACCAATATCGCGCACGCATATCTTGAGCAAAAAGACAGGAATCCGCCACAAGCTCGTTTGTTACGGGAACAAATACCGCAGATCGCGAAGGCAGCAGAATCGTATTTCACAATGCGATACACACGCGGTACCAGCTCGCATGGAATCAAGATTGCGCACGCAAATTGCGGACAAAAACTCGAGAATATGCTAAAATCTTTGTCACAGGAACGGATACCACAGATTGTGGACACAGCAGATTCGCATTTCACACTGCAACATACACGTGGGAACAACTCGCGTGTTAGAGGAGCCAATATTTTGTGCGCAGATCGTGGACAAAAATGCGGGAACCCGCTATAAACTCGCTTGTCAGACGTGCCGGTGCAGCAAATTGAACAGTTGATGCGATTCCCGTCGGACATTGCGTGATGTCCGGTGGGAATCAGGGGGGGGGGGGGGTGATGATGATGTTTCGGAATTTTAGGGGCAAAGCTCTTTAGGGTCTATCTAGCCTTTTCCGTCCAGCGTCCGTGCTCACATCGATCAACATCGTTCACCACGTGAAGATTCAGCCATTTTTTTATGTTACAGACATTTAGCCAGAAAAACGGGATGTGCGATTTCTTGGGGGCGGGTTGTCTCGGAACTTTACGGTCATTCCAAAAAGTAATCCCGGGTCCAGCAATCAAGTTCGTTGAACTGAAATATTTGCTATTCCGAAATTCGTTTTTCATTTAACTGAAACATTTTTGCATAGAATGCATAGGAAAACCGCTGGGGATTTTTCAGATTTCCTTATTCTGAAATATTCATCAAACCAAAGTTTGTTCAAGTGAGAGTTTACTGTAGCGCAGAACGTTGCTCAATCATGTAAATGAACATGTTGATTGGTTAGTGTTTTTCTTCCGAATTCGTTGAATTAAACACTTGGCTCACGTTGCACGGCACCACGGCAGAAAAGAGCTTCACACATTCATGTGCACTGTCAGACACTGTTAGCACAGACACGGCATCGGCGCTTTTCCGCGTGGGAAATTTATGTGCCAAATGAACGAGAAACACCCGGAAAACCAACAAGAGGGACGACAGAAGCTATGCAGAAACATTGGATCACTAACTGCCTCTGCATGCAGAAGATAACATAAAGTGAAGGCCAAGTAATATAGTCCAATTTGCAACTAGTAACTAAGCATTGTTTTATTTTTTCTGCTCATGCAAATGTGCGAAGCTGCTTATTCTGAGTTCAACACGTCACCTGCACACTCAAATTCTTTGAAAATTGCTAGAAGCCAGAGCATGGGTGCCCGATAAAAGCTGCCCGGCATAGGAAGTAATAAAAAGAAACACCTTTCACAACCCACATACTTCAAACTTTATGGTTTTAATGTTCTTGACCGCCTGATCGCAAAGATGCACGATGGGGTTGTTTTCATATAGTGACGCTGGAATGCTGACGAACCTTGAACACACTACATTTCTTTTGATTGTTATTTTGCTTTGAACCTTCACTGATTTTTGCACAACTGCTATGGAACAGGGGTTTGGTCCCGAAATATAGCGAAGTTTAACATTGGTCACTTATTTAGTTGCTGTAGTTACAAATACTGTAACTCAGGCAATTATTCTTTTAGAGCGCAGCTCTTAGGGGCCCGTTCCCGGCTTGAGCGGCGTCGCCGTCGGCGTAACCAAGGTCACGTGACCCCTCCCAAGGTCATCTCAAGGTCACGCGACTCCACGTGACCCCTGAAGGTCACGTGACCCCTCCCAAGGTCATCTCAAGGTCACGTGACCCCCAAGGTCACGTGACCCCTCTGAGGTCACGTGACCCCCGATGTCGCGTGGTCTCCTCCCCAAGGTCACGTGACCGCTCCCAAGGTCACGTGGGGGGGTCACGTGACCTTGAGGTGACCCCCATGTGACACCCAAGGTCACGTGACCCCCAGGTCACGCCTCCCCGAGGTCACGTGACCCCCCTCCCCGAAGTCACGTGACCCCCCCCCCCCCCCCGGACCATATTAAAGAATGAGGGGAGGAGGAGGAGAAGGAGGAGTGGTCTACCCTCCCCTCAGTACCCTTCACTCCTCCTCCTCAAGAGCTGCGCTCCAATTCGGCGTTACAGGGGTTTGTAAACGGCTTTCACTTTTTTAAATGTGAATAAAGTAATAAAGTTACCTACTATTCGTTATAACCCAAGTAACAAAGGTGATTCCTGTTATTCTCTGGGCAAGAGACAAAATGAACACGCGTTTTACTATACAGGAACTTGACCAAACAGCAGGGTGCATGTGGTGCCCACTTCTTTGGACGTTAAATAAATATGTGTCAATGAATGAATATACAGTAAACTTTCGTTAGTTGGACTTCACATAATTCGACTTTTTGTTTAATTCGATAGTGTCCAAAAGTCCTGGCGAGTGCCCATACATTTCTATGGGGCAAAGTTTGATAGTTTGAACTCGGGAGGACTTTGCATCGGATAATTTGTCCCGAGCGAACGCGCGGGGGCTCACGTTGCACAGCACCACGGCAGAAAAACCACCAACGTACAGCAAAACGCAGTCCCTTTGCTGCAAAGCTGAATGTGTGCAAATACGCTCCTGCTCCTCTATGATGGTGAGATGGACTGTAGCGAATGACACGAGCCAGTGCAACCAATCTGGCTTGAGATAGCACGGAGAACATAGCACATGGTCGGGCACGCAGACAGACGGAGACAGTCTGTGCTCTCAAAGCGCTTTTCTATAGCATCGTGTATGGTCCATCTTGTGCGCCAAAAAAAACGCAAATTCGCTTTTTTTTTTTCTTTTTCTTTTTTTAGTGCGCGGTTTTTTGGGGGACGTGACATTTAGTTAGGTTGTGCAAACGACCATTTTCGCTTTTATTGCACACGGCACAGTTGATGTCGAGTTGCTGAGTGGCTTAGTTCGGAACAAAGGCTGAGTTTGGTTGTTGCGTTGCGGCAGGAGCGGTAGTTTCATTTAGCGGAGAAACCAATGCTTGTTTGATTGAGATGGCATCACGCGGGAAGTACACATTCTTGAAGGAGTTGCGAAGGGTTATCGAGGAAGGAGATCGCAAACAAGTATGGTTTGAAGAAAAGCACGCTTGTCACCTTGATTGCTTACAAGAAAAGGATCATCAAGGCTCAACAAAGCGAACACTTTGACCAAGAAAGAAAACTGCTGTGAACGTCGGCGCACTTGAACGTCAAAAAGGCTGTGCTCTAGTGGATCCAAATGGCTAGGGTATTAGCAAGCATGCTCGACGCCCCTGACTTCATTTGTTCAGATAGTTGGTTGTCAAGGTTCAAGAGTCAGCACCAGCTCGCATTCCATACAGTCTGCGCCGAGCGGGCAGATGTCAACCCTGCACTGTGCGAGCGTTAGAAAAATGACCGGCTGCAAGACATTTTGAGGACATATCACTTAGATGACATCTCAATGCAGATGAAGTTGCTTTTTACTACAAAATGCTTCCAGACAAAACGCTAGCATCAAAGGATGACGTGTGCGCCGGTGGAAAACGCAGCAAAGAGCGACTAACTCTAAAGCCTGGATAATGGCAGAACTTTTCAGGGAATGGATTGTCAAGCTGGATCAGAAGTTTGCGTCAAGGGATCGTCGTGTTGTCCTCATTAGGGACAATTGCAGTGCACATGTTGAAGCCCAAGGGCTGCGGGTGCACCTTGAATTTTTGCCGCCAAATATGACAGCGACCATGCAGGCACTCAACCAGGGTGTCATAAAAAACTTGAAGGTCCTGTTCAGGAAAATGCTGCTGCAACGGATGATCATCTGCTTTGAAAGTGGCAAGGGCTACCATATCACCATACATGGTGAAATGCACATGCTTGCTCGTGCGTGGGAGCTATTTAGACAGGAAAACACTGCCAATAGTTTCAAGACATGCAGGTTCATCGTGCCCACGGATGCCATGACAACACTGGTGACAATGCGGATGCTGCTGGCGGGTAGATTTGCTCCCTATCCTCGGTGACGTCTCGTTTGAAGACTTCGTGAATGTGGACAATGGTGTCACAATATGCGGGCATTGTACGGATGACGACGTCGTGGCAAACGTGATCGGTCGTGGGGTGGACAAGGAAGATGAAAGCGAGGAGGATACCGCCGAAAGTACCTTATTTGAGCGCCCAAGTGTGTTTGACGTGGAGTAGGGACTTCAGGCTGCTGGGCTGTACTTTTCCCATGAGGAAAATGACGAGTGCGCGCTGAAGTACACCGCTGCTCTCCTTAGCATGCTTTTGGACATGCGTTTTAAGCGCAGACGGCAGCAGACCATCCGTGAGTACTTTGGGCAATAAAAGGAAGTTTAATTTTAACATTTTTTTTTGTCCTTTTAGTTTGATCATTCGGATAATTCAACCAAACTTTAAGGTCCCTTTGAGGTTGAGTTAATGAAAGTTTGTTATAGTAATGCGCAGGAGCACCGCCAAAGTAGACTGGTTGCTGTCTGCTTCGATTTGCATCTCGGAATTGACATAGACACTATAGTCCGTTGCAACTCAAGAAGGTAGGGCAAGGGTAAGACCGGCCAGGGAGGAGGAAGCAGACGGAACGCTGGAGAAGAGTGGGGGAAACCTCCTTCCCTCCTTAGCGTTCGTGAGTCCCTGTTCTCTTTTTCGTGTTGGAATTTTTGATTCTACATCTTCTTAGCAATGTCTTGCCACTTAGTGGCCTGAGCGAGATTGGCGAGGCTCGTTAGACTGCAGAACTTCACGGAAGTAATGTGACATGCGGCGCTTCCTTCACGTGAGCGGCACACAATGGACGCTGAAACAATGATGAGATCCTGCTCGCTATTTTCAGTTGCGACGTGTCTCAGGCTTGCAAAAGCTTGGACGGGAGCTGCGATGCTGAACGTCGACACTGAAAATTGCAACCAGAATTGGACCAAGTGAATCGGGCATAAGTCGGTGATGGCCACTGGTAACAGTGATCAGCACCTCCTTGTATCTACTGTCTGCAGGAGCATACTTACCCCAAGCAGCCTTCAAATTTATAAGTCTTTTGAGGCCTGCACTTACATCTTATTGCAATCGTCAACATTTGGTCTACATGCCACTGTCGTTTGAACGAGCAAACAACAGAGCGATCAGGCGGTCGTTTTAACTTGAAGGTGCACCAAATGTAGTCCGCCGGCAGCCTGGACAACTTGGCAGTTTTCCCGTGTTCATGTTGGAACAAAACAAATACGACAACCCCAAATATCCATGAATTCAACCCAAAAAAATTAGTTTGCTCTTTATGTTTATACAGCCTTGATGGAGATGCGCCTCAACGGGTAATCGGTCTCTTAGCTGTAGATGAGAAATTTTGCCAGTGCAGCCACTAACCTGGGGTTTTTAACGTGCATCACGCAGTAGTGATCACACGAACGCCTGCCGGTACGAAACCCATCCAGATCGAAACGGGCGGGGGCGGCAGGGATCGAACCCAGAAGGTTCCCAGCGCAAGCTTTCGCTCCACGCTCCGAGCTGAGACGCGTTAGCCCACTCGGCCACTTCCTCCCCTGAATTCAACCCAAAGTGCTTCCCCCACAAGCAATTGTAGGCCGACGGCATCTGTTTTTTTCTTTTCACAGCACCTATCCACGTTCTCGGACGAACCGAGCAGGCGGAAATTGTATGAAAACTGATCTTCAAACCTTTCCCGGCTCTTTTGGTACAGCCCAAATGAATTGTTTTAACAGGAAGCAGGTTTTCGTCTGGTTTCTTCCGAAATGCCTGTCCTGCATGGAAACTTCCACTCTCAGCCCCAGACCGGAAGTGTAGCCACATACCACCACTGCAGCACGACGTAACAGAGCTGAGTTCTTGTATGCAGTAAAATCCAGTAAGGGCACCCTTCCCCAAAATATCGCCCATCTCGTTTTTGTGGCTACATATCCGTAAGATAAAAATTATGGAACATCGCCCATCGGGCGGGCGGGCAAACTTTTGTCCACAGCAATAAACGAAACTCAAACTATACTTGCAATCTATCCACGTCAAAAGCAGTCCAACTGTACGTGAGGTAGCAGTAGTACAAGACAACCCAACCGCAACCTGTCTTTCGATGTAAAACGCATTCCTTTTCTTTTTTGGGGCAAGTGCTCGTGTGACCGGGAGGGAGGCGGGAGAGTTGGGGAAGGGGGGAAGCCACACTATAAAATTTTTTATAAATTATTTTTTGCCTACCGAAGCTAAATAAAAGGTAGGGTTTGGAGCACCTTGAACGCATAGTTCTTCGTTCCACTTTTTGGTATAAATTCCATTTTAGTCAATCTATCGTTTGATAATGGCAATACAGAGAAGGCTCGTTCTTCCCTTTTCCTGACTGAAATTTAATAAGGAATGCGGCTGTGGAACTTTTTTGTCACTTTACGGATGTCTTTTATAAAAAATGTTGACATTTTGTCGAAGACAAAAAAGTTGACCAATTTTGCAGAAGAGAAAATTTATAGAAAGACTTTTCAGGAAAAACGTTCCATAGCCGCACTCTCTAGGCATTCTGCTACATATCTAGCAAATAAAAATCTTGAATATAGTGATAGTTTTCTGATGACAGATTAACTAAACAATGTAGGCTTGTTGCTGATAGAAGCTACTCTAATTTCCTTCTCATTTAACCGACAGACCTGAAATTTTGTTATACAACCTCTAGCCTACCCTGTAAATCTCATTAATTTTAAGACAAGGGTTCAAAAGTTGACCCCCCAGGGGGTGTGTCCCCTTAACATGTGAGAAAAACATGAAGGAAGAAATGGGAGGAAGAATCAAAGGAAGAGTTAAACTTTTTGCCGAGCAGAATTAATTTTTGCACATTGGGCTTTAAAAATAGTGTGATCCTAGAAATTGTTTCTTCGCTGTCGTTGACATGGCTCCTCGTCCCCTTTTGCAGAGCACCGCTACATTGAGCTGTTCCTCAACTCAACCCCGAGCGGCATGAGCGCCGGAGGCAGCAATGGCGGCGGGGCGGGCTTTGGCAACGGCGTGGGACCCATTGGCTCGGGGGCCGGCACCACGGCCTTCGGGGGCACCATGGCCGGCGGCGGCAGCGGCTTCGGCTCCAGCAGCTTCGGTAGTGGCCGCTACGGGGGCAAGTGGCCATCCCCTCGCCCTCCTTTGCCCTTTTTGCGTGTTGTGGCGTTGCAGTGCATGCCTCGGGAGGGGTTCACATGCCTGTCGGTTCACTCGCCGTTTTAAAAAGATGGTTTTGTATGCTTTGTCCAATAAGGAACCACTAAGGGTTCCATAGTGGACTTTTATTTCTTGCATCTGTCCATCCGCATAATGTTGCAACGTCCCACGATGTCGTGGGTATCACACAACCTCATCGTGACGACATCGCTGGACATCTTATTGTCGTCGTCATGTGACAGACATCATGTTATCACAGATGTCTCAAGTTCCCCACTAAATTTAGCTGGGAAATATATCCACCAAACTTCATTGGCAAGGGCTGCTGTTCAGAAACCCCATCGAAGGTTATGACATCTAAGTTAGATTTGATGAAACGTTTAAACCAGACTAATTTTTTACTTTCCGGATAACAGCATGGAAGGCGAGCAAACTGCATCCAGGGACCCTCCCATTGGGTGGCCTTGGGACGTTGCTTTGTGGACTGTTTTGTCTGCCAGAGTTCCTGCAAAGCAGTTGCCAAGGGAGAAGGGGGAGATGCGACAACAGAGCTCAGATTGGAAGGATTAGTGGGTAGACACAAAGGCTGGCTGCCTTTGTCTCTACTGTTTCTTTAATCAGTGAGCAAGACCTTCGTCTGCTCCTCACTAAGCATCTGACGTTCGATTGCTGAACACTGGCGTCCGGCGTTGGAATGCTAGACACTGCGAGGAGCAGACTGCGTAGAGACAAAGGCCTTTGCGTCTACCCATGGAGTTTGACATAGACATCGCCACGGACTCTTGTCTCCTCCTCTCCCTCAGTTTCTCTCCGTAGTCTGACAGGTTTAGATTAGTTTGACAGGCCCTCCACTCTTTCCACTTTAGCAGAATATGTCAAAGAGGAGGGACCCCTTCAATTGTAGACAGTTTGAGGGAGGAGCTTGTCTTGTCATTTTAAACCTGCAACAGGCTATAGTGGAAGATAGTTGCAACCAGCCAAAATGCTTGGTTGCTGGTTTCTAAGTGTCAAGCGTGCATGCGATTGAATTCAACAAACAACTGGCAGGTTGGGAAGCATTATTATTGTTTTTTCTTTATTTCTTTTCCAACTTGTCACAACTCCTTCAGACTGACGGAATTTATAGAGGCAGATTTGGCATTTTCATATATTGAATTTAGTGTTTGTTTCGGCAGGTAGCTAAATTTGCCTGTGCAGAAGCTTAATAACCAATCATTGTGGTTAGTTGCGTTAAAGCCTATGGTTAGTGGGAAGGAGAGTTTTTATATACAGGCTATTTCACAAAATGCTAGCCAAAGTTTTCTCGTGAAAACTGCATTGCAGAGAAAAAAAGCTTAGTGTGCTATTAGTGTATCTCTGACTGGCCTAGCAGTGCCGCAATACAGAAAACCTCTATTCGGTTTGATGCTTGTGGGTTAATGTGGCCTTCACTTTCTGTGTGCAGGAGGAAGCTACGGGGGTGGGTCCATGGGTGGAAACATGATTGGTGGAAACAACTACACTTCATTCTGAGGCACTGGATGGGCTGGCACTGCTCACAAGATCACCCGTTTTTTTTTTTTTTTTTTTTTTTTCCTTGTGTTGTATAAAGATTTTTTTTTTTTTAACATGTACCTCATGTGCTGTAACTTGTAAAGTTGTCAACTTGCAAATCATTTTCTCATTCTGGAGTGCCGTTCGGTAAGGTGGCGCAACAGTACAATAAAAGTCTCTCAAAGAATTTGTCTTTGTGGTTTGTGCGAGATTTTGCTACTATAGTCGGATGAAAATTAAATATGCATCCAAAGGCTCTGTTTTACTCTTAGTGCAGAACGCACGGATACGAATTGGTCGTAGAAATCAATGTCGTGCTCGCCGGCCGAGAAACACTCGTTCTGCGCTACGTTGCACTTGATGTTGGAGTATAACAGATTCTTAAGCTCCACCTGGAGCACTCGTTGGCAGAAAGCTTGCTCCGGAGGCAGAAGTTCAGGCGCATTCTTGGCTCGTACCCCCTGTGTGTACTAAAATTAAAAACCGGGAATCTGCAGTTGGAAAAGGTCGGGGAATTTTCGCTACAATAGACCTTTAGCATAAAGCCGCTTGCAGATAGCATCAAATGTATCGGTGCCCGTGCCTCGTGCCGCCCTTGGAAGCAAATGGCGGCGGAGCCCTTGCGCGTTTGCACTGCAATGTTTGTCGATCCTTGTAGGAAATGTGAAGCGTGAATTTTACCTAGGAAATATCTTTGCACGGCGCCGAAAGGAATATCGGGAACTCTCCGTACAGCTTGTAGCAGACGACAGAGGCTACCCTAGTGGCCATGGAGAGTGGGCAAAGGCAGGCGGGAAACTGCGATACCCCATCATTGTTGCGTGGACTTCATGCATGACCTTTGGGGATTCTTGCAAAAGGTTTACTATTGGGCAGGGAAACATCTTTCCTTCTGGGCAACAGCAATGGACGCCTTGTGATGTGGCTTGATACATGTTGCAGGCGATTCTGCCGGCGTGCAGACACGAAGTTTGCCCATTGTTCATACGTAGGGCTCTTCGTTTTCGGGTTTTATATTTTTCAAAAATCTGCCACCATTTATTCAGGCTGATTATTGGGGAGAAATTGGGTTTCCTCGGGTCTTATTTCTGAAGAGCAAGTACCTGAAATGTGTTCTTGACACAAACAAAAGTCAACAAAGCATATAATAAGCAATGGTGCTCAATCTAGCATCATATTTCCGTCTTCTGACTGACTCGCTCTGAAGCGAATATATGCAGAGGTAATCCAAATCAAAGAAGTTTGTTACCATCAAACGAGTGACCGAGGAAGAAGTTCTGTAACAGATCCGGAATTGTTCTTATTTTCCATGAATTCAGCTGATTTCAAGACTGGTGTTTGGGGCGAGATTGGGTTTAACCCGATTCTCGTTAAAACTGTTCAAGGTACAAATATTGGGTTTCATCCGAGAACGAAGAACCCTATTGATATGCCAGGCAAGTTTTCGGGCATCTTTTCACACCGGAAAAATAAACATCAGGGAGAGCTCAAACCTCGTTTCAAATGTAGACCCAGCCGTTCGAGCAAGAAGCCAAAGTTTCAGCACCAACCGTTATCTTATTCGAAAGTTGTGAGTGATTTTCTGAAATTTTCAATGGGTATTCCTGGTGTCATGGAGCTGCCTCCGTATATTCGAGAGCTCCGTCGGCCGTCGTTTTTCTATTGGAATTTTCACAAGATCGCCTATAATGTTTGAACAAGACAGCGGTTGGTGCTGAAACTTTGGCATCTTGCTCGAACGGCTGGGGCTACATTCTGACGGAGTTCGAGCTCTCCGCGATGTCTAGTTTATTTTTGCGGTGTGAAAAACTGCTTTGTTTTCTCGTGCACGCCTGGTAGTACAAGATTTGGTTGTCGGAGGAAGAAGCGATGCACCTGGTGTTTGCAACATGTGCGTCTTATTAAGATAACATATATAAAATTCACCTACATATACCTTAATTCTCTACATAAAGGGCAAATGGGTCCTGTTAAATCCTGTTACGTTGCACCTCTGCTGTGAGCACGTGTAGCGAAAGCTCTCGCTGCAGAACCCAGGGATCCTGGGCTCGATCCCCACCTTCGTCTGTTTCGATTTGGATGAGTATCGTACCGGTGGTGTGCAGTTGTGGTGCCTCATTACTGCGTTGTGCGCGTTAAGGACGCCAGGCTAACGGTTGTACTGCACTGGCTAAATTTCTCATCTACATGTGGAAGACATTGCGCCAAAAGCTCATTTCACTTTGTAAATACGGGAACTAATGGTTCAGATGTTATGACACTGCCGGATCGTTATGCTAAGCTCGCGATAATTTTAATAAAAACATGAGCCATTCCACTCTGAAGATGGATGACCAGCAAAGTTCTTTAGCACATGACACAGACCCGCCCCGAGGAGCCGGACGAAACTAGACATGAGCGACGGGACCGCCACCTGGCGGAAAGTAGACACGCGCTACAGGGCCGCCACCCCGGGAGAGCGGGAGAAAAGGAAACTAGGCACGCAAGCGCTTGGAACGACGACAGAGAGAGGGCGGTGCGAGCGTAGACATGGCCAACGCGGGTCGAGGCAAATCTTTGAGAAACCTTTATTACCTACCTGAGAGTCTACCGATCTTGAAAATGGTGCCTATTGATAACTAATCTACTGAATATGCACAATGCTAAATTACCCAATGAGGTTGTGCTCGCAACTGAATTGTTTTATTTGAAAAGGAAAAGAAAACATAAGTCAGCACCAGATAACAGTGTAATCAAACAATACGCCACACACAAGGCACGCGTCATCAAAACAGGTTCACAAGACTCAACTTATGCCAGTCATGGTCTGGCGCAAAAAGGATAGCTCCTTATCACATAAGGCAACGGACGGCTCATCCCCACATCTTTTTCCGAGGCACGAAATATAAAAATCCTAAAAAATTTCGCGAGTGACCCTCTCTGTGCTTCCCTTCAACCGTCACCTCGTCAAAGGCCGGCTGACACGTGCAGTCTCTGCAATGCAAAGGGAGGAGTCCCCCCACTGTGGCCCTCGGCGAGTAAGCATGCTCCCAGAGCCTATCATTAAATTAAGGCACCTCCCTGTCTGGCCTATGTAGAATTTACCACATGACAGGGGTATCTTGTACACTACAGTCGAGACACATGACACGAAAGGTTTTGCGTGTCTTTTGGTACACTGCGCCCTCACCCGATTTTCGGCTCTGGCACCCACCCTTGCACAAATCTGGCTCATTTTTTAGGGGGGCCAAGAACACTACTGGGACTCCAGACCGGCCTCCAACTCGTTTAAAATTGTGGGAGACACGGTGGATGTAGGGGACCTCCACCTTTCATTTTTCGTGCGTTGGTGAGAGGGCTATGCGAGTACATGTAGCTGCTGTCCTGTCGCGTCTGTTCTTCTCTTCGTCCTTGTTTTTTGAAGCTGTTACACTTACCATGTCAAACTTTTACCAACTCGCCTAGTTCGACACCTTGTTACTGTCTAGTGGTAAAAAATTTTACAACATGGCGGCAGCCAAGTGGGCTGAGGGGAATCCGAGTCAAGAGGTCCAACGAGTCAAAAGATCCAACGCGTCAAAAGTTCCATTATTGGACCTTCTGACTTGTTGGACCTTTTGACTCGTTGGACCTCTTGACTCGCCGTGGATCTTTTGACTCGTTGGACCTCTTGACTTGTTGGACCTCTTGACCCACATTGGATCTCTTGACTCGTGTCGGGCGAGTCAAAGATCCAACGAGTCAAAAGATCCATTATTGGACCTTTTGACTTGTTGGACCTCTTGATTTCTTGTCCGATAACGGGGAAAGGGGGAGGGGGGGGGGGGGGTGAAGGGCTTCGAAGAAAGTTGGCACAAAAACAGCAGGAAAAGAAAGAAAAGCCAAACAACGATGAATGACGGCTTTCGGGTGGCTAGGATGGGGTGACGGTCACTGCACTGCAACGGGCGGTGGGATCCCGCAAATAATAATAAGGCGAAAAAAAAAAAGTTGATGGGAGAAGATGATGCAGTGGCCTCGGGAACGATAGGTTTTGGGATCCTGAATGGGTGGCAATGTCACGGCGTTATGCGTTTTTCATTTCAATCGGCTGGTGACCAACGTAATTTCTTCGTGCTCTATGCTTGAGTACCGCAGGAATTTCCCAAGAGTTTTCCGCGCCGTACTAGCTTGAAAGTCATTACACAAATGCACACGCGCGCACTAAAAGTGCAAAGCCGTGAGGCACTCTGCGATTGATTGGACTAGCCGGTAATAACATGCAGAAAAAAGTCGACGCACGCCATGAATACGTTTTGTTTTCACCATTGCTTATGGGTCCTGTCAGCTCGTAGCGTCGGCTGCACTGTAGCTTTAGTAGAACGTAGATTAAACGCGGGAAGAAAAAAAAATTCTGATATTTTTTATAATTTCGAATTAGCGCCATGGCGGTGCAAGAAAACATATCCACATGATGAATCAGACATTATCATAAACATACAACATATTTGCAGTGGCGTGCGTGCAGTCATGTATGGCTACTGCGTGATGCACGTTAAAGACCAGAGACGAGCAGTGGTACTGCACTGTCAAAATTTCTCGTCTACAGCGTAAACCAGTGTCGCCGCTCCTCAAAGGCGAACCGACCTGACACTGAATAAACAGAAGCCTCAAATATATTTTTCGGGATTCCGTGTTATGCAACAGCGTCTTTGTGTGTCACCATATTTAATTCTAACGTAGACAGGATAGAGGAAATGCGACCTTCTTTTTTCAATTATCGTTCTATCGACATTTGTTCTGTCTTTTTTTTAATTAGCCTTTTATCGGAATTATTTATTTTATTTTCGTCGGGCAACGCCTACCGTGTTACACGATGTTATAATATTTTCAAAATATGTTCTGCTAGTGAAGGGCAGAATGACCGCATGTGAATAAGCCATCCCAGCATACTTCAGTTGAGTGAGCGTATTTCACTTGAGTCGACGCTCGATTCTTAGATTCGTAGTTGAGCTTTTCTCAGCATCGGACAGTTTGGCGGTGAGCCTTTCTCCGATGAGCTTTCCTCCGGTGAGCTTATCTCCGGTGAGCTTATCTCCGGTGAGCTTATCTCCGGTGAGCTTTTCTCCGGTGGGGTTTGCTCCACCGCCTTGGAGGCGGTGGAGCAAACCTCACCGTGACTCCAGGAAGATCGAAGTTACCTAAAGACAAAGGTGTTTTGAAAGCAGG